GGCTATGGTCAAGCCTGCTTTTCTTTCAGCTCTTCTCACTGGAATGGAGACTGGCTGCTTCTTACATGGGAGATTTAGAATTGAGTGAAGAGATGCAAGTGGGTTACGCTTTGGCATGTTCTGGCTCTAAATTCAATGTGGGGCAGCCCGGGTGGCTCAGCGGTTTAGTGCCGCCTTTGGCCCAAGGCCTGACCCTGGAGACCCAGGATCGCGTTCCATGTTGGGCTCTGCGTGGAGCCTGCTTCTCCCTCTGCCTGTGCCTCTGTCTCTATCTCTGCGTTTCTCATGAATAAATAAATAAAATCTTTAAATTCGATGTGGCCTAAACCTGTGACCCAGCTGTGCTCACTAGAATTCGCCAACCCTGGCTTGGCGTCAAAGGGCTGGCTTGTGTGCTTTGCTGTCTTATCAAGGTACTTATCTCTTTTAGGGGCATGGCAGAAAGAAAAGGCTGATCAAGAGCAAAATGGTGTTAGTTAGGGGTGCCTGGTTGGCTCAGTTTGAAGAGCATGCAACTCTTGATTTCAGGGTAGTGAGTTCAAGCTCCACCCTGGGTGTAGAGATTACTTAAATAAATAAAACTTTTTTAAAAAAAGAACAAAATGGTATTAAAGATCCTTTCCATTAGCCATTTTTCTCTAACAACTTGTCATCTACCCAGCTTTACTCAGGATTCTGAGAAGCTCCAAATACCCTCTGTGATGCTTTTATGGTTAAGGGGAGAAAAGGGTCAGCTCCCCACATATCTCACACCTCAAGGTTCTGGCTGTGGCTACAGGGAAAGTTAAAAGACAAGCTTATAAATGAGAAAGGTTTACACAGGAATTTCCTGGAATGAAACAAGGTCCTCTGCAGGTCATGGGAAATGGCTTACCATTGCTTATGGGGTTTTGATTAGTGTTATCAAGATAAAATGCAAAACAAGTCAATATAAGAGGAAAACTAGACATTTATAGCTTCCATTCAGAGATCTTCTATGGCACAATCCCCTTTTCAATACTATTTCATTTAAACCTCTTAAAAAGGCACAATTTTATACGTGAGCAAGCATGCTTATAGATAGAAGGTAAAGTAACTTTTCTAAGGTAAAACTAAGTGGCAAAGCCAGAATCCAAATCTAGGTGTTTCTTTTCAAAGCTTATGTTCTTAGCCACCGAGAATACTGCCACATAAAGCTGTTCCCTGTGGACTCATTATATGGCTTATAGACATTCTCTACATCAGAGTCAGCAAACTACAGCAAGTGCTAACCCCAGCTTTTTGCCTGCTTTTTTACGGCCTGAGAGCTAAGACTGAATTTTCCATTTTTAAGTGGTTGACAAAAAAAAAAAAACAAAAAAAAAAAAACAAGAGGAATAATAACTATGTGACATGTGAAAATTATATGAAATTGAAATTCCAGAGCCCATAAATAAAGCATTATAGACACCTAACCATGCTCATTCGTTTACGTATCGCATACAGTTATTTTCAGGCCACATGGGCAGAGATGAACAGTATGCCCCACAAAGCCTAGGATACCATTTGACTCTTTACTAGCAAAGTTTGCAACTCTTGCTCTACATTGTGGCTGCTATAAGCAAATTACAAATTGGAAGATTCAGGAGCCAGGGATTAGGGAGATGTGGGAAGGGTTAAGGATAATCTAAAATTTATCAAATATCCTTAACTTTCCAGGCACTACATTTCTTTACATACATCACCTCACTTAATCTTCACTAGCACTCTGTAAGGCATTATTACTCCCATTTTTCAGATGAAGAAACTGAGGCTGAGGGAGTTTATGGATGTCTCTCAAAGTCATACAAGTTTCTGCTATTTCCCACATAGATGTATGTTGCTATCCTGGATTCCAGGCCCATCTTCTAACTCCAATACCCAAGTACTTTTTTTTTATAACAATAAAGTATAATGCTCTGAATATTAGGTTAACGTGTTCATGGATATAGAAGAAAGTATGATAGAAGTATCCTGTAAATATATCTAACTACTCTGAGAATATCTATGATTAACCTCAAGGTCATGTGGTATGATTAAGTGTGTTCAACATCAATATCTAAATGTTTCATAAGTTATAATTTCATTGACTTAAATTTCTAATAGCCTATACAAGTAGTGAATGAGACGCTAGAATCACTCACTTTTAACTTCCTATATTATGCCATTTAATGGTATGTTTAGGTTGGGGTTCTAGAGAAATCTGTTACTTATGCTTTTAAAAAACTTACTATCCCTTAGCCATACATTTTGCTGAATTTAAAAATAAATGTAAAAGTTAAAGACTATATATTGTTATAGCATGTACAGAGATCAGTGGGTTGAAAATTATTCTAAGTGAATGGACTATTTAATAGTATTAACTCTTCCAATCCATGAACATGGGATATCTCTCCATATATTTGTATTGTGTTTTTTTTTTTTTTTTTTTTTTTTTTTAAACTTTTTTATTTATTTATGATAGAGAGAGAGAGAGAGGCAGAGACATAGGCAGAGGGAGAGGCAGGCTCCATGCACCGGGAGCCTGACGTGGGATTCGATCCCGGGTCTCCAGGATCGCGCCCTGGGCCAAAGGCAGGCGCTAAACCGCTGCGCCACCCAGGGATCCCTGTATTGTGTTTAATTTCTTTCACCAGCATCTTAAAGTTTTCAGTGTACAGATCTTTCATTTCCTTGGTTAAATTCATTCTTAAGTAATTTATTATTTTTGATACTATTGTAAGTGTAATTTTCTGTATTTCTTTTCCAGACAGTTCACTGTATATGAGGTCATTTTATTTGACCTATTGATCTGATTTATGATGTTCATTAATCCATAGTATTAAATTAATCCTGAATTCTTGGTTGAACTACTTTCAAAACCGCAATCTGCAGTCATGCAAACTATCAAAATCAACTTTGTTTGTTTGTTCTGAGATAGCGAGCATGCATGTGGGAGATGTAAGGGGAAAAAGGAGAGGGAGAGAGAATCCTCAGTAGGCTCCAGACCAGCAGAGCTTGATCTCAAGATCCCAAGATTATAACCTGAACTGAGATCAAGAGATGCTCAACCAACTGAGCCACCCAGGTGCTCCTATCAAAATCAACGTTAAAATAAAATGTATATAAGACCACTGAGCAAAAAAATTAAAGTGAGCAGGGTGCTCACTTTCATCAAGTGACCAAAAAAAAAAAAACTAAGGAAAACCAAAACTTATACATCTAATACATATATGAAAGTTGATCCTGGCTTTTCTTCAAAGGCATGCAAGTTAAAAAGAGAAAGAGAGAGAGAGAGAGAGAGAGAGAGAGAGAGAGAGAGAGAGAGAGAGAAAGAGAGATGGAAAAAAGAAAAGAGAGAGGGAGGAAGAAAGGAAATTTTCATTACTTTATTTTGCCTTAAATACTTTTGTAAAAGAAGTTTTCATTTAACCAAATCTACAAAACTCTGCAATAACCAGAAGATCTGTGCTCTATAAATTTATTGACCTATATGCACATCACTGAAACTGACTGTATCATGTGTGATGGTATTAATGGAAAACAATATGAATACAAGAGATGAATTTCATACATAAAGGACTACAGAAAAACTCAAGAAAGCATGGAAACTGAGACCAAAGCATTGGACATGCTCAGAATTTGTTTAATCTTTGTCCCTATAGGTACTGCAATTCATCTGCCATCTACTGTTCTTTGGAATAATAATAAATGGAAAGCAGTTTTTTTCTTCTAAAACAAGCAGATCTCGCCATCGGCTCATGGTGAGGGTGGGTAAACTAGGATGATGAAAGCAGGTGACTACAGTTTAGATGGGCTCACTTCAGCTAAGGCAGCAGAGTCATTCCAGAGAAATGGAGTCATTGTACCTACAAGACATCAGCCCCATTCAAAAATTCACTGATACTTTAAGACTCACATTAAATGTGAAAAATTCAACTTCCAAAAGATTTTTCTGAGTAACAAAGTGATTCACCTATGCTTTCATCATTTGCAAGGGTCCCAGCATTTCTGGGTGTAAAACTAAGAGCTACCTGGCTTAAGTAACTCATCAGCATGAAGTGTGTCCACTTCTTCAGTGTAATATCTTTGTTGCTCCTCATCCCAAAAGAAGCAGCTTTTTCCAATGAGGAGTAGAGTCAAGAAAAGCATCTCTTCCCCCATAAACATCCTAGGGGACAGTATAACTTTCTTCTTCTCTAGTTCTCTTTAGCAGTGAGGAAAGTAATCTTCTTAAACCACCCGAACTCTGGCCTTGGGACTTCTGTCCCTAGAGCACAGTTGGTAACACTCTCCTCTGCCTTAAGTAACATGAGAAACTTCACCACATGGTGGAGTTTTCTTTCAGGGCCAAGGGCAAGAGGCAAGGAGCCAAGAGTCACAGCAAAACAAGTGGAAATCAATGAAACCTATTAGTGAGATGACTAAAATAGAGTGTGTGAGGTCAAGGTGTACAAATGAAGCTAATGAGAGTACTTATCAGTCCACCTAAGAACACACCCATCAAGGGCCTTGGTCTTGAATTTCAAAGACCCAGCTCTTTCCCTCTAGTAGGAAGGCAAACAATTCCCATGAAATCAGATCTGAAGGCCACAGAAAATCCCAAAGCCCACCTAAAAGTATACAAAGTGCGTGCTGCATTTACTACATCAATTCAATTCGGTATGCAGTGATCAACAGCCTTCACTTAGTCCAGAGCACTCTCATTAATCTTAAGTGAAACATTTTCAGAGTAAAGTGATAACAAGTAGACATAAATGCAGTCCTTCAGTGACTTTATAGCAGCGACAGTGTGCCAAGACAAGACACAAGTGCCTGGAGGCCCAACGGGTGGCCAGGCTCACTCACCAGCCTTATAGCTTACATGCTTCATGTCTGTCCCATGGCTAAACTCAAGTGACCACTGGCCAGATGCTGCCTCTGCAAATGCTAGGGGTCTCGGGACAACAGAGCAAGCTTGACAGCAAACACTTTAATAGAAGAGGTGGCAGAGGCAAACACCCTCTGCACCCTGCCCAACTTACCTTCACCAGGAAAAAGGACACACCATATGTCCGGAGGGATCTGGCGAGTTTGACATACTTGACCTTGGCTTCTATTTCACTCATCTCTCCACAGTTCTTATGCTCCTACAAGTGACAGCAGCAAGGACCAGTTATTGAAGTTCTGCCAGCAGGTGGACTTGGCAAAGGTGGTTATGATACATGGCACGTACAGTTGCTATGAATGATCAATCATCAATGCTTGTGTTGGAGAGACCCCTCTGTGACATACGTACCAGCTGACCAAGGATCAGAGCATAGAGAAAGGTTGAATGCAGGGCTTTTTTTTTTTTTTTTAAAGACAGGGAATACTTTATTCAAACCCATCAGAGAAATGGACAGCTTGGGTCTGTAACAAAGCGTCGTGTTTTAAAGCATAGGTCAGTAATTGTATATGAGAGTATACACTGCTACATACAAATTAACTGATCAGAGCACAACTTTTCAATTTTCAAAACAGAATAAGCTTCCCTGTAAAAGCAGCACCTTTGTGACATTTTTAACTTTAGTATTCCTCTCCTTCTTCTTCACCCTCTCCTTCAACAGAATCCACACCAACCTCTTTATAATCCTTCTCCAGGGCAGCCATGTCCTCACGGGCCTCAGAAAACTCTCCTTCCTCCATGCCCTCATCCACATACCAGTGAACAAAGGCACGCTTGGCATACATCAGGTCAAACTTGTGGTCCAGGCGAGCCCAGGCCTCAGCAATGGCTGTGGTGTTGCTCAGCATGCACACAGCTCGCTGTACTTTGGCCAGGTCTCCACCGGGTACCACAGTGGGAGGCTGGTAGTTAATGCCCACTTTGAAGCCAGTGGGGCACCAGTCCACAAACTGGATGGTACGCTTGGTCTTGATGGTGGCAATGGCAGCATTGACATCTTTGGGAACCACATCACCACGGTACAACAGGCAGCAAGCCATGTATTTACCATGGCGAGGGTCACATTTCACCATCTGGTTGGCTGGCTCAAAGCATGCATTGGTGATCTCTGCTACAGAAAGCTGTTCATGGTAGGCTTTCTCAGCAGAGATGACAGGGGCATATGTGGCCAGAGGGAAGTGGATGCGGGGATAGGGCACCAGGTTGGTCTGGAATTCCGTCAGATCCACATTCAGGGCTCCATCAAATCTGAGGGAAGCAGTGATGGAGGACACAATTTGACCTATCAACCTGTTTAGATTAGTGTAGGTTGGGCGCTCAATATCGAGGTTTCTACGACAGATGTCATAGATGGCCTCGTTGTCTACCATGAAGGCACAATCAGAGTGCTCCAGGGTGGTGTGGGTAGTGAGGATGGAGTTGTAGGGCTCTACTACAGCTGTGGACACCTGGGGGGCAGGGTAGATGGAAAACTCTAGCTTGGACTTCTTGCCATAATCGACAGAGAGACGTTCCATCAGCAGGGAGGTGAACCCAGAACCGGTTCCCCCTCCAAAGCTGTGGAAAACCAAGAAGCCCTGAAGACCCGTGCACTGGTTAGCCAGTTTCCGAATTCGGTCCAAGACAAGGTCAATGATCTCCTTGCCAATGGTGTAGTGCCCTCGGGCATAGTTATTGGCAGCATCTTCCTTGCCTGTGATGAGCTGCTCAGGGTGGAAGAGCTGGCGGTAGGTGCCAGTGCGAACTTCATCAATGACTGTGGGCTCCAGGTCTACAAACACTGCCCTGGGCACATGCTTGCCAGCGCCCGTCTCACTGAAGAAGGTGTTGAAGGAGTCACCTCCTCCCCCAATGGTCTTGTCACTTGGCATCTGGCCATCGGGCTGAATGCCGTGTTCCAGGCAATAGAGCTCCCAGCAGGCATTGCCGATCTGGACACCTGCCTGGCCAACGTGGATCGAGATACACTCACGCATGGTTGCTGCTTGGCGGCTGCCGGGAGGATGGCGGAGAAGAGGAGAGGTTGTTGCTTCTTATAGCGCGACTCTTAGGCAGTCGATGTAAGAGAACCTCGAATGCAGGGCTTCTTAACTAAAACAGGAGTCCAAACTCCCTAGAGATTTTACACCATATGCAACAATTCCTGCTGTGCAGCATGGTAGACCAGAGTCCAAAGGGCAATTCACTTTCGGAAGAACTCCATATCCCTAAAGGTTCAGGACCAATGCTTTCAATGAGATCTAAAACAATGTTCTCCAGGAGAGGCATCATTCTAACATCCATCCAAAATATATGGCTTTTCAAAGAGCAGGATATATAAATGCCCACATGTCAGAGTGCTTAGAAAAAAGACTGTGTGCATTTTAAACACATGAAATTTCTACTTCAACTTATATTTACATTTCAATAACAAAGAAGACTTTAATATTTTGGATTCACAGGAGTGATAATTTTATGGCAAAGTTGATGATGGGCTTTTCTTACTGTTTGCCTGGAAGAGAAAACTCTCTGCCTTTTAGGGAAAAACCCCTGAATTTTAAAAAAAGACACCAGTTTCCAAATTCTAAGCTTCAAAAAAACAAATATCAGGACAAAGAAGCTACTTGTAGCTGCTTTTACAGGGCATTTTAATAGCAAATCACCTTGTTTCGACACTACCAAGATATAATGCCTTTGAAATTAAATGTATGCACATTTTTCTCAGAAGACTAAGTAACCTTTAGCAAGAAGGTATGGATTAAGATAATAAATCTGCCCAAAGTAGAACTGTCAGCTTCTTTACTCTTGAGTCACTAATCATTTATTATATAAGCAGAGTACATGCATGGGATATGAAACTATCATGTGCTGAGGCCCTTCTCATACTAATAGATGAGGCTAGAGAGTGAGGAGAATAGTAAAGTTCTGTACATTTCCAATACCTGAAATATTCTCTTTTCAGCTCCTCTCTGCTTGATGTATTCTTTGGGCAGGAATTCCTTTAGACTGAGAGAGAAAATAAAAAAGAAAAGCCATTTACTCTATGATGAGGAGGAAAGAAGAGACTTTTTGTACAACTCAGTGAAGTCACTAACTCTCCCAGTATTTTATGGAACAATTAAAAACGGACTGCCACATCCCACCATACACTTAAAAAATAGGACACAAATATAAAACCAGTCTGACAAAAAGGATCAAACTAACAAAGAAGAAGGAATTTCCATGATATGCTGTAAAGTACCAAAGCAAAAGATAAAAGAGTGTACAGTATGCTATCCTTTGTGATAAAGGGAGGAAAGTGTTTTTCATTTTATATGGCTAATACACATTTTTAGGGGTGCAAGGGTGGCTCAGTCACTTAAGCATCTGATTCTTGGTTTCAGCTCAGGTCATGATCTCATGGATCATGAGATGGGGCCCCATGTCAGATTCCATGCTCAGAGAGGAGTCTGAAGACTGTCTCCCTTTGCTCTTCCCCCTAATCTTGCACACGCATGTGTGCAGGCTCTTTCTAAAATACATAAATCTTTAAAAATATATATGCATTTTTAAAACAATACAAATATACATCTAGTACTAATTTAAATGATTCTTTTTGGGAAAAAGAAAGAAGGGAACAAGGACAGAAACAAAACCTCTGGATATCCCCTGTGTTACAGTTATCACTTTAGAGCCACTCTGAAATCACAAAGATGGGAAAAACTCATCACCTAAAAATCTAAAGCAAACTGAAACAAATGAACTTAGCAGTGTATCAAGTTGATTGCATAACCACAGAAGAAAAATGATTTCAAATAACTTTGAAAAAGTCTTTTCACTGTACATCCCTAGTGAGATATGTCTTAAAGATAAAATAAACCAGAGAAGACATATCAAATATTGATAACATTATTTTAAAACTATACCCTCTTCTCTCTAAACATATAAATACACACATACTATAAAATTAGGTTATTACATTATATAGAAGTAGGATGTCATAAATAAAGATAAATGAGTAATAATTTTAGCTATTAGAAATCAAACTTTTTAGCATGAAATAGATTAAAATAAAGCAAAAAAAAAAAAGAAAGAAAGAAAACCTTGTAGTCTTTCATTTGAATTGGAAATACTGACCTGAATGTCTGATTCATTCTTTTCCTGGAACACATTTTTTAGCGTGTCTACTAAGGAAGCTAAGGGCAAGGACCATCTGGTGGCATTGTCAGGGCCTCAGTCAGCCTCTGAATACCATTTCCCACTAAAAAGGAATCAGGGATCCCTGGAGAAGTGATTGATTCTAACTCTGGGGCAGGAAATGTATCAAATGTTCTTGGGGCTTCTTATGCCTGAGATCAAAGAAGCTATCAAAATGACACTGGACTGGCATCAAGGGGGTAATCACTGGCCAATAACAGGATGATTTTTTTTTAAAACCTTATACAAAGGAAGAGAGAACAATATAATGAACCCACCATCCAGCTCCAACAATTTTAATTCACGGCCATTCCTGACTCATCTACTCCTTCACCCTATCCCCTGCACTGTATTATTTCCAAGAAAATCCTACACATCATACAGTTAATTTCTTGTGATGGGGTAATTAGAGTATCAGAAAGAATGACGACTGCAATGGGTAAAAACACAGACATATAAAATCCCATAAAAGTCCTTTAAAGTAATCATGGGCCACCTTAGCAGGTGGCTAAGCCACCAATCCCAACTGGAAACTGATAAATGGAAACTAACAAAGTTAACAAATACAGAAGGAATAAAAGGGGATCCCTGGGTGGCGCAGCGGTTTAGCGCCTGCCTTTGGCCCAGGGCATGATCCTGGAGACCCAGGATCGAATCCCACGTCGGGCTCCCGGTGCATGGAGCCTGCTTCTCCCTCTGCCTGTGTCTCTGCCTCTCTCTCTCTGTGTGTGTGACTATCATAAATAAATAAAATTTTTTAAAAAAAATTAAAAAAAAATAAAAAGAAGGAATAAAAGGAGTCCAAAGTCATCATTTTATAGCTCCTAATGAAATAAGCAATAGATCAAAATATGCCTGAGTAGCTGCTAAAACCAATTAAGTGACAAGTTAATGGAGAACTTTATAGTAATAGTTCAGTCTGATTCAAACCCACTTAATCAATTTTACTATTAACAAAAGTGGGATAACCCGGACAACATATGCCTCCTAACTGATGCAATAGAAAGTATAGAGCACTCTCCAGGAAGTATTCTTGGCAAAAATATATAATTTAACCTGAATTTAATTAAGATGCTAGATCTAAATATTAGTTTATAAAGAGAGAGAAGAACATGTTAAGTGACACCATCAGGATACAATGAGTCCAACGTTAGCTAGGGCATTTCTATAAAAATAGCCCAAGTTCCTCACAAATAAATGGCTTGGTGTTAGATGTGAAAAAGAGGAAACAGTAACAGGTTAATCGAGTTTAAAAAAAATGTATTTACTACAAAACTACAGTAATAAAGACAGTGGAATACTGACATAAGATAGACAGTTTAGTGGAATAGAATCAAGAGTCTAGAAATTAACCTCTAACTTAACAATGAGTTGATTTTCAATGGGAAAAGAATAGTCCTTTTAACAAATGATGCTGAGACAACTGGATATCCACGAGCAAAACAATGAAATTGGATCCTCTACTTCACACCAAACACAAAAATTAACTCAAAATGTATTAGAGACCTATATTTAAGCTAAAACTGTAAAACTCTTAGAATACAGGAGTAAATCTTTATGACCTGGAGTCAGGCCAACACTTTAGATATAATACCAAAGTACATGCAGCAAAAGAAAAAATAAGTAGGACTCTATCAGAATGAAAAATTTGGAACTCCAAGTGATATCACCAAGAAAGTGAAGAAGCAGCCCAGAGAATGGGAGAAAATGTGGCAAATTAAGTATCTGATAAGGAATCTATATTCTGAATATGTACTTACAAGTTAGCAATGAAAAGACAATACAAAATTTTAAAAGGGGGTTGGGGTTATCTATAGAAACCTTTTTCTAAAGAAATACAATTGGCCAAAAGCACATGAAAATATAACTTTATTAATCAACAGAGCAATTCAAAGAAAAGTTACAATATGATACCACACACCCACTAAGGTGGCTACAATACAAAAGATGCACAACAAGTGCTGGTGAGGATATGGAAGAATTGGAATTGTCATACATTGCTGGTGGGAATGGAAAATGGTGCAGCTGCCATGGAAAACAACCTGATAGTTCCTCAAAATACTAAACAGCAATTCTACTCCTGGGCTCATATCCAGGAAAAAGGAAAACATGTCCAAACATTTGTACATGAATGTTTATAATAGTATTCCTAATAGCCAAAAGATAGACAGCACAAATGTCCAGTCAACTGATGAATGGGTATATAAAATGTAGTTGATCCATACAATAGAGCATTACTCAGCAATAAAAAGGAATGAAGTATGATACAAACTCCAACATGGAAACACTGCTAAGTGAAAGAAACTCATCAAAAGAGACCATAAATTGTGTGACTCCACTTATACAAAAAGTACAAAATAAGCAAATCTATAGAGATAGCTAGGATCAGTGCTTGCACAGGCTGGGGATGGGTGTGGGGTTACTGAGGAGTGGCTGCTAACAGACACAAGGCTTATATCAGGAGGTAAAAAAGTGCTCTAAAATTAGATTGAAATAAATAAATAAATAAACAAACAAATAAATAAATCAAATTAGATTGTGTGATGGCTGCTCAATCTTGTGAATACACTAAAAAAAGGAATCATACATCATAAATGGGTAAATTATAAGGTATGTGCACTGCATCTCAATAAGACTTTTCTTTAAAAAAAAGTGTCAACCAAAAAAAAATTTGTAGGCCTTGCTTAAATCCTGATATTAAGTAAAACTGGTATTTTTGAGAGACCAGTGGGGGTGGGGGAGGAATTTAACAGACCGGATATTAGCTGGTATTACAGATTTACTGTTAATATTGTTAGGTGTTAGGACAGATTTGTGGTTGCATACGGTTAGAAAGTTAAAAAAAATTTTTTTTATTTGTCAGGAAAACATACTGAAGTATCTATAGATGAAATAATACACTGCCTGGAATTTGTTTTAAAATACCCCAGCAAAAAAGTAGAGGAGAGGTAGGGTAAGGCCAGATTCTGACTACATTAACACTTGAAAAATGGAGTCTGGTCAACTTGCAAACTATTTCTATTAACAAAAGTTGTAAGTACATTTTCTGGAATTTCAGGGGTCTAGCAGCAGAACAATCTGGATTTCTCAAGAGGCAGCAGGGGTAGGGTCTAAGAAATATCTAAGCTGGGGATCCCTGGGTGGCGCAGCAGTTTGGCGCCTGCCTTTGGCCCAGGGCGCGATCCTGGAGACCCGGGATCGAGTCCCACATCGGGCTCCCGGTGCACAGAGCCTGCTTCTCCCTCTGTCTGTGTCTCTGCCTCTCTCTCTCTCTCTCAACTATCATAAATAAATAAATTAAAAAAAAAGAAATATCTAGCAGCAGCACAGTGGATTTCTATGATTAAGTGACTCCATGGACAAAAATGGAATTGGTCACTGGAAGGCACCAATGTCACAACAAAAAAACAAACAAACAAAGTCACAGAGAAATAAGTAACCTAGCTGAGGTCACGGGACTTGTTAGTACCCGGAGCCTCTGACCTCCCAGAACAAGAGCAGACCCACCTGACAGCCCAGATGTTTCAGAAGTTTTCCCCCAAAGCACACTGAGAATGATAGTGAAAAAGCATCACAAGTGGGCCACTGGACAGTAGGTGCTAGGCTACCAACCAAGGGGGACCTGGCTAAGGAACCAGAGCATCCAAAAAGGGATCCATGCCAAACTCCTCAAAATAATGACTGTTACTAGAAGAATGCCAGATGACAGGATCTAGGGGCCAGGCAGGGTTAGAATATGCTGGGCATTAATGGCAAGAACGTTCTGTGTGGCAACAAGCTGCCTTCTATCCCAACTCTGCAAACTAACCCTCCCATTCTTCAGCAGGTAC